AACTTCCCCAATTAAAAATTTTTGATTTTTTTTTTTGATTAATTTTCCAATTTTCTTGTTTTCACTTATTTTTTAGATTTTGCTTGGTTTTTTAAAAGTTTATATACACACACACACACACACACACATATATATATATATATATATATATATATATATATATATATATATATATATATATATATATATATATATATATATATATATATATATATATATATTTATTTATTTACAAATTAAAATTTGAAATTCTATTTTCTTTTTTTATTTTCTTCTTTTGCTCGTTATGTCATTTTGTCAGTTTTATTTTATGCTTGTATAATGATTTTTTTACTTTGTTATTTGTTATTTGTTATTATATGTAAGTTATTTTTTTTGTTTTAATTTATTTTCTTTGTTATTATATTTATCTTATTGTTATTTTTATGATTTATGTTATTATGTTATATATAACTATTATAGATAACTGTTTTTATCTTAATCTTTTACAGCTCCTCTTTTTCTTAATTCCACGTTTATAATTATTTTTCTTTTTTTTTCGCATTTATTCTCATTTTTACTGCACGAGACTTGCAATCCATTTTTTATTAAAGAAACAGTTATTTGGACCAAAAAATAAAAGTTGCAATTTCATTTTTTTGTGTGTGCAACTTGTAATAAATGAAGCAACTACTATCTCATTTCCAACGGCTTCAGTTAACTTTTTAACGAGATAGCACTTAGGGCTTCATTTTATGAGCTTTGCATAAACACTATTCTGTTTATTGAATAACTGCTAACCTAGATCTCAATCTGATTGAATGTTCTTAATAAAGCATTCTCAATGCTAAAACCTGTGAAACATATAAACTGGTTCCAGAAAAAACTGATTAAAGTATGGTGTATATTAAACATGTATTAATTAGCAAATTAAAAGCTTTGTTGATAGAACAATAACAAATCTCAAACGCATTTCTTACTTTTTGGCCCACAATCTGCTACTTTTGTCCTTTAAGATTGCGTTGGAATATGATGCTGCTCATCAAGCCATCTTTGGTCATGGCAACCTTTTATTATAGGTTTTTCTACAGGTGTGCTTTTGCAAATTGCTAAATATTGCTAAAAATTTATTTTAAATGTTGTACAAAGTTTACAATAACATAAATTCTCCCAGTCAGAATGTATTTTTTATTGTTATCTTTTTATTTTTATTGTTATCTTTTTATTTTTATTGTTATCTTTTTATTTTTTATTGTTATCAATAAAAGTATTTAATCAATCTTAAGAATTGACAAAGAAAAACTTTTAAAAACTTTTACGCATCAAAAACAAGTTTTAAACACAAACAAAGGTGTATTGCAGTAGTGAGAGCAAATTTAAAATTAGATCGTATGTACTGGCATTTCAGAAAGTAATACAACATTGATCTGGCTAGTGTTAAACAATAACAAATTTCTCGGACATCTTTGATTATTATTATAACTTTATTTTTTCCTCTTAAACCGTATGGCATTTGCCTTTTCAGAAAAATTATATAAGAAACAAATTTTTAGTACTAATTCATTCCCAACAACGCTGCAAGCAACCACTATTAAGTTGGAAGTCACTGTAAACAAAGAATAAAGTTACCCGGTGGAAACACTAACTTTGGATCAGCGTAAAATAACGTTGTTATTTAGGTGGTAATAACGTCGGATTAACGTTGGAAATGAAAAGAATGGATAACGTTAGATTTTCCAACTTTATAATGTCAGATTTTCCAGCGTTAGATTTTAACGTTAGATTTTCCAACGTTAATCAACGTTGTAATTTCGATGTAAAAGTAACGCATCTTTTAAGTAAATCTTGGCAGTTATCGTAACTCAAACCCCGATCACACGCTTAATAGTACCACCACGCTACACAACCATATTGATGAGAAAATATTAATTAGTTAAAACCATTAATTATATATATATATATATATATATATATATATATATATATATATATATATATATATATATTTGTACTATCAAATTTTTGAAATATTTAACTTTTTTTAAATAAATATAATGTTAAGTTATAGCTAATGGTTTTAACTAATAAATATTTCCTCATCAATATGATTGTGTAGCGTAGTGGTACTATAAGAGTACCACTACGTACAGTACGTACTTTCTCAAAACATTTTAAATGTAACCTTACCGGTTTTTCCCGTGTACTCTCATAGTACCACTAAGCTATATATATATATATATATAATATATATATATATATATATATATATATATATATATATATATATATATATATATATATATATATATATATATATATATATATATATATATATATATATATATATATTATTCATATAAACATTTACTTTATTCAATTATAATCCAAACCCTTGTCAAAAAAAGGGTAAAATATTTATTTAAAAGATGTTAGTATAGCTATTATAACGTTGTAATTCCGTTTTTTTTTCCGTCATGGTTCCGTTCAATATTGTATTACCCAGCTAACGCAAAACTTTTAAGAAAATGAATTTTGATTGATGGAACTAGAGCTGATAGCTTCTTTGATCAGCGACCATAATTGTATTAGTGCAAAAGAGAGACGCAATCTTGGCAGATTATGCAAGTCTAACTACAATGCATTTTTGGACCTTGCTTAGAAGAGAAAGGTCATGATTAGAAGAACCAGCCTAAATATGACAACAGTTATTCCTTTAATACAGCGAATAAAAAGAAATTTTTTGATAATTCAAAATATTTTCCCCAGATTTACCATATGAAACAAGATAATGAAGAAGACTAGCATGCTAAACTTAAGCAAAAGCTCTAAATATGTCAATAGCAATAACTCTCGCCTTGCCGCCCTAGCTAATGCACGGTAAAGCCGTATAACAAGAAAATTGAAAACCATAACTTTTAGTGAGTTAGTTAATATATTCAAGATGAGATGTTAGAAATTAATGACAAATATCGAACAAAAAGCTTGATTAGTAATTATTATATTCCACTAATTTCAATTAAAAAATCAAACTTTTCAATTACGTGGACCACGTTGGTGGAACTCGATTCTTGACGATAACATAAAAAAATAACATCCAATATATTTGGAAAAATTGTAAAAAAACAGAAAACATTTATTAAATTGAATACATACACCATTTCGTTTTATTAAAGGAAAGTGTATATTTACTTGTCGTTATTATTTTTTTGATAACTGATGATATTTAATATTTGATTATATTTTTGTAGTTGTTTGTATTATAGTAAATTATGTTTGTTTGTTTTGTTTGTTTTAATTCTGCTTTAAAAAAAAAATAATAATGGTAAGAATAAAAATCTTTTTAAATTCTCTTTAAAAAATTATTTGATTATGTGATTAAACACTTATCACACTTTATGTGATTAAACACTTATCACACTTTATGTGATTAAACACTTGTCACACTTTATGTGATTAAACACTTATCACACTTTATGTGGTTAGACACTTATCACATTTTATGTGATTAAACACTTATCACATTTTATGAAAGTATGTCTCATACATTTTTTGTTTATTTTTTTAATTTAACACTATTGTATTAAGATAAAAATTATTATTAAATTTTTTTTTCTATTATTTTATTAAGGGCTTCATGATAAGAATTTATTCTTTAGTTGCTCCTATCAGATTATAAATAAAAAATTAATCGTAACTCTAACAATAAGATAGTAAAAAGTATAAGTTAATGACGAAATAAAATAAAAAGTATGTTTTTTTATTGTAACACTTTTCTTATTTATTATAATTTATTTGCTTATTATAATTGAACTTGTTTATTTAGCACGGTTTTGCAACATTTTTAATAAACCTGTTAAGCACGTTATAATATTTTGGGTTTTCTGTATAAATTCAATGAATATTAGTAATAAGCTAATAATAATTTTATAATTTTTTGGATCCCACATGTGAAGTCACTACGCTGCTTTCACTTTACTCTATCGTGTGCAGTCACTACGCTGTTTTCACTCTACTTTATCATGTGCAGTTACAATGCTGCTTACCTAATCATATGCAGTTACAATGCTGCTTACTTTATCATGTGCAGTTACAACGCTGCTTATCTTATCATGTGCAGTTACAATGCTGCTTACCTTATCATGTGCAGTTACAATGCTGCTTATCTTATCATGTGCAGTTACAATGCTGCTTACTTTATCATGTGCAGTTACAACGCTGCTTACCTTATCATGTGCAGTTACAACTCTGCTTACCTTATCATGTGTAGTAGGGGGGGGGGTTAAGCTTTTCTCATTAAATGATTGTATTTGTTACAATTTATTAAATAAAAAATGTTTTACTGCACATAAATTCGGTTTATAAATATCATCATTGCCTTTATTAAATGAGAATATCTTTACTGCCATTTGCATATTTATACTTGCATATTAGAAAAATAAAATTAAGCTTATTATACTTTTATTATTATTTGTTGTATTAAAAGTTATTTATATATGTGAATAGTTTAATTGTTTGTAAGAAAATACAATAATTGACAAAGACCATTATAAATCAGAACAAAATTTGTTTTAACTTGTCTCACTTTTTTTTTTATTGGATCACCATTTCAAAGCAAAACAATCAACAATAAAATAATTACAAATTGATAAAAAAAAAATTATTAAAAAAAAAAAATGGTTTTCTTTTTAATTAAATTTCTATTTAACTTTTAATTAAAAAAAATTGTTCTCTCAAATTTTCCATATTTTTTATTTTAATAATCAAACTCGCTCCAAATTATCAGAATAAAGCTCAAACTGTTTACACATAACGATATAAAGTTTTCCAATTTGTTATATACATTTCTGTATTTATTACTGCTGATATATATATATATATATATATATATATATATATATATATATTATATTATATATATATATATATATATATATATATATATATATATATATATATATATATATATATATATATATATATATATATATAATATATATATATTAATGTAATAAATTACTTACGCTTTTGTATTTGCTCATTGCTTTTTGCTTCTGGGAAAAAAACAACCTTTGTGCCTCCTTTAGATGTCACTCTTTTTTTCTCCATTTTTTTTTTTTTTTTTTACAAACTTAATTAAGTTATTATAACTCTAAAATACTTTTGTTTCAAAAAATTCAAAACAATTTTTTATTAATTGTTTGAAATTAATTTAATATGAAAACAATGTGCCGTTTAAAAATCAATTCAAGTAATGTAAATGAACTGAAAATAAAAAATTCTATTGTTAACTTATCATATTACTTTTTTTTTAACCCCCTAAATTTATCTAAAGTCCAACCCCCATATACTTTTAATTAAAACTGAAAAGTTGCATTTATGTTAAATGAAAATAATGAAAGAGTCTCGGTCACAGAAAAGAATGGCTTTATTGGTTTAGATTTTAAACTTTAGAAGCATGTAAATTTTTTAAAATGCAATTGTTTTTTTGTAAATAATTATTTTGACCAATGAATATTTAGATATTTAACTTTAAGCTAAATATCTTGATATTATGTAAACTAGTTAAAACTTTTTGTTATTGTTGTTGAAGTTGAAAAAGAGTATAATTAATAGTTTACTAATCTTGTTGAATCTATTTTTAATGAAATAATAATAATAATAAAAATAATAAGAGTAAAAAAAAAAATTTTTTTATGAACAAAATTTTTTCAACTATATGTAAATAAGTAATTCAGCAAATGCAATTTTGATTAAATAAAATCATTGAGATTTTGCTTGAACTTTTTTACTTTATTTAACAAAAACAACAACTGTAAGAGTTTGTTAAATGAATTTAATTTTAAGGCAAAACTAAATATAGAAAATAAAATTTTAACTTTTTTTTTAATTTTAAAAATATTGAGGAATATAAATGAAACACTGAATTGAAAATCATATATTTATATTGCTATTAAAATGTGATGAAAAACGTTTGCATTAGTACTTTAACGTTACTATAACTTTTTGATAATTTTTTTCTAAAGAATTATTTTTATTTATAAATGTTTATATTTTATTTTCAAAAAATTGCAACTTTAAGCAATCAAAGTGACATTATGCAAATTTATAACCAGAAGAGTATTTATGAAGATATTTGTATTTATCTCTATAAATACATACATATACTTCCATAAATACTTTTCTTATTATAATTTTTATAAATTTATTCCCTTAAAAAGACATGTAAATTCTAAACAGATTCTATATTTGTTGTTGATGTTGTTCAATATTTTAAGTATATCAATGTTAAATCATTTAAAATCAAATGATTAATTTTGTTATGCTTATTATAATGTTATTATAATAACTAAATATTATAATAAATATTATAATAACAAAATATTATAATAATATATAAATAGGTTGTTTTAAAATTTCATTAAATATTAGTGTTAATAACTAAACTATGATTAATAATTAATTAAAATTAACAAGCTAATTTTTTTTAATTAATAAACTAATTATTTAATTCTAAATATTGTTAAAATCAAAACTTTATTCAAGTTTTATATTTTGCTTTATTTTGATTCAAGTCAGCAAAATATTTGTTAACAAGTTGTTTTATTATTTTATCAAGTCATAATATCACTTCGACAGCAGGTAGAAATTATTAACTTTTTTTTAACTTTGATTTCTTTATTTTTTTATATAAAAATATCTTACGTAAAAGTTAAAAAAACTTTAGAACGGTAATCAAGAAAGTTAAAAAAACTTTGGACCGGTAATCAAGAAAGACAAAAGAATAAAGAAATTAAATGCAGAAAAAAGATTAAATAAATATGGGAACTGAAAAAAAAGAGAAGTTGTTTAGAAACAAAGGAGAAATATAAATCAAAAACTAAAATTTTTTTTTTCAGTTCTAAGATTAAATTTATTTAGTGCCAGAAAAAATTTAGCCTTCACCAATGATCAGAAATTTTTTAATAGTAAAGAAAACAGGACATTCAAAAAATAAAACAAGCAAATATAGCAAGTGTTTTTAAAAACTTTAGTAAATGAAAATATAAAGATCTTCCAACACTTAAAAGCAGCCGACAAGAAGCAGGTGTAAATATTGGACGCAAGTAGATTTCATTTTTTGATCAAAAGTTTGTTTTAACGTTTTAACGGCTGTTTGTTAACTAAACGCTGCAAAAACATGTAGCTTGCATTTGCATATTATATGTTGAATTGTGAATAAACAGCGGGGTTTTTCTGAACTTTTAGATTACGTGAAAAAACATTGTTTGAACAAAAGTGTCCTTGATAATGTTTTTCAAATGGTTTTAGCATTCATCTACGAGTAAATTAATGTATAAGGATTTTTAATTACGCATACGGGTTTCATTAAACAGTTTAAAGATTAAAACAAAAATCAATAAAGAATAAAATATGGACCAAAAAATGAAAATAAAATATTCAATAAAGTTATTTAAATAGCCATTACCTACAAGAAGCCATCTCTAACAGTCATAAAAATAATTCCCAAAGAATCGCGCAAATCAAAGCGCAAAATAATTCAAATTTAAAAAGATTTAATTGTCTATTAATTGGCTGTTTGGATTATTAAACATTTAGAATCTGTGCAAAAATTTATATAAATTAATGTACGTAAATCTAAAAATAACTTTGCTATAAAACACTTAATAAAATGATGTCTATATATATCTACTATAGCATATTTATATGTGCAATTATTCACTTTTTTTGCTAGCCTAAATTAAGTGAGCGTTTTTAGAAAAAGATGAGGGAAAACGAGGAATAATGAATGAAAAAGTTGCTGACCTATACCAAACCCTCAGTCGATGTGGCAGCACTTCACTGCGAGTCAGGCTATTTGTCAGTCGATGTATGTACTGAAGCCCCCGGCAGCAGGCTATTTGACGTTAGGTGAGTATGATATCATCATGCTCACCTAACTCAGCAGTATAAGATATATATCAAACAAGTTGTATAACACAAGTTGAATTTTTTTTATTTTGGTGGCCCAAGAAATCCTTACGGTCTTATCACAGAGCACCGCGGATAACTGACTACTTACAAAGAAAATAATTAATCGTATGAAAAAAAAATTTGTTCAAAAAGTTTCAGTTACTATTTCTTTACTATTTCCCATCATTTTTTTCATTCATAAATTAAAGTATAATTAACAACAAGTTGTATAATTAACAAAAAATTGTAAAATTTCTTAAGCATATATCTGAAAATCTTGTGTGTTTTTTTTATATTGTATTTCATTCAACGCTAATTTTTTTTCCTTATTTGATCTAAACAGATACGCTTCCTAAAATTTGTATTCTTATTGAGCAAGAGCTTACGCAGGCTTTTTTATGTTTAAGATATGTCATTTTCAAGCATTGTGCAAACTTCTCGTTCTTGTATGTTTATGCTTATGTCTAATGAGAATGTATTTCAAAATAACGCGATGATTGGAGATTGCGAACAAAAAGTTTGTTAACTTTTATTGACTCATTGCCTTCACCAAATGTGAAGACAATAAGTTAATAAAATATTTGTTTTTCTATTTTGCACTAAATTTAAACTCATCGACTGGTTTTAAATTTCATCTAATAATCTTTAGCGTTTAAAAGCCCAAGTCAAGTTTTACTTTTGGGAGGTAGTAAAGGTAACCGGGGCTTGTTGGCGGCTGGGGTAAGTTGAGGAACTGCGTTTATCTTCAAAGCCTTTCATCAGAAAGTGTCAAAAATTACATACAACCTTTCTAGTTGACCATTTCATCTTTTACTGGAATATTGTTAGGATTCGCGCGTCCGCATGGAAGATATTAGGATTTTTGTATTTTTTGGACAAAAACATAACTTTTGGAAAATCGATTCCTTCTTACTTTACAAAGAAAATAGTTAATCGTATGAAAATATAATTGTTGAAAAAATTTCAGTTACAATTAGTTTACTATTTCCCTTTTTTTTTTTTTTCACGGGGCAAGTTGGCTCAAAGCATTTTTTTTTTTTAATTTTTAATTTTTAACAATATTAAAAAAAATTACTTTTTACAAAAATTAAAAAAATGAATTTAGGTTTTTTTTTAACAGATAAAAAGTGGGCTACTGCTTTGGTTTGTAATAAGAATTAATTCTTATTACAATATTATATAATATACATTTTTTTTTTTTTTTTTTATTCATATATTTGCCGTACATATAACATTTAAAAGTTTCGTAAATTAAAAGTAATATTTACAAGTCTCGTGAGTCAAAATATATAGTGAAATTTATAATTAAATAGTACAGGCCGGACTTCAAGAAGATCGTAATGATCTTATCACGAAGCCCTTACAATGTGTTTGATATATTATTATGATTATGTTAAATATAATTATATATTAAGTACAACTATGTTTATATATTCTTTAAATTTAGCTCATAATAAAAAATAAACTCAAAATAAGCTCAGTATAAAATATTAGACATAACTAGCAGCATAATAACTAAACTTGATAAGAAAAAATCAAGTGTTTTTTTTGTGTGTAATAAACAATTTTTGATATATTGTTTGAGAAAGGTAAGAGTCATTTAGATAATACACATAAACGAGTCAGTTCACTTTGTAGTTGATATATATGTATTTTAATTTATAGTCTTAGAAGAATTCTGAGTATCTGTTTAGATTCAGTATCAGATTTTTTAACTTTTTTTTCAAGAAATTTTGATTGCAAATTGAATCTAGATTGCAAATTGATTTATTTTTAGTTACTAGTTTGTTGTATAAATAAGGACCCCGATATGAAATTGAGAACTGAGAAAGTTTTGTTTTTTTGAAAGGTGTAATAAAGTTTCCTTTTTCTCTTGTGTTATAATTATTAACGTTATTTATAAAAAAGTTATTTAAAAAATGGTTTGGTACTTGACCTAATTTAAATTTTAGCATAAACAATATATTTTGGTAAATATTAATTTGATAAATATTAAGCACATTCATTTCTTTAAATAAGGGTTCAGTGTGTGTAAATTTGTCTTTATGGTAGATTAGTCTAACAGCATATAAAGTTTTCAATTTGGTTATATGCGTACTCGCCCAAGCTATATTCGCATATATGAGGTAGCTATGTATAAAAGAGAAATATATAAGTTTTAAATTACTTTGCGACAGCATAGGTTTTGCTTTATAAAGTAGACCTATGTTTTTTGATATTTTGGTGTTTAAAGCATTTATGTGACTTTTCCAAGATAAATT